CATCAAGACATACTCTCAGCAACTACAGGAGAAGATATCAGCTCCCAATTACTAAGCATTTACTGTATGCCTTGCCCTAGGCCAAACACTTTACTGATGGAGCCCTATGATATTATTACTTTAATGCACCTTCCAATGTGTATATAATATTAAAGAATTCAACAAACTATTTATTATTGATGTAACTGAAAATGTACCAATATTCAGAGTCACATCCAAGAAAGTATAGGCATTTAATTAACAGTGCATAATACATTGATAGTTCATAATATCACAGTGTTTATACTACAGGAAGAAAGAATGCCAATGTGTGAATCAATCATTTCTGTTTGGAAGAGAGGCTTTGGGCAGAAACTGCTGGGCTTCTTCCTCCTCATCACCCAGGGCTGGGTTGTTTTTTTTTTAAGCAGTAACAACCTTACTAGAAACTTTGCTTTTCTACTTTGTTTCTGGCCTATGGAATGTCGTGTTTTAGATCCCAGCTGTGCCATGTTTGGCTTTCTGTTTTATATTTTATCCACAACTGCTGGATGTTTGAACACATGGGACACTTTGAAATATGATCTTACAGTATTGTTCTAACTGAAGTCTCAGAGCCCTTACCTAAAAATTAAAATGTAGCATATTCCTTTTTGATACTGCCAACAAATCACAAACATAGGCCTTTTAGGACTAGGAATTATTAAAATATATCACTGAGGTGCAGAGGCTGAGGCATTTTGCTCTTTGTGTATAAGCATCAGCTTTAATAAATAAGGCTTTAAGTGAATACAGTGAGTGGATGGGTGGGCATGGAGTGATTGGCATTGCTGGTATAAAAAATAGCTATGTAGGCCAGGGATTTAGCTCAGTGGTTCCACCGCCTGCCTCCCAAGTGCAAGGTCCTGAGTTCGATCCTTGGTACCAAAAGCAAAAGCAAAAACAAAAACAAAAACAAAACAGCTATGGTAAAAAAGTCATTAATCACTGATATACTTATAAAGCACTAGAATAGTGTGTGTGACCATGTGTGTGTGAACCAAAATATGTGAATACCTACAAACCAGTCCCTAAACATCCAAGGTGATTACATGCATACATCTGAGAGACCTGTCTATTAGCATAATAGACACCTTTGATCATGGATGAACATTTGGACAGTAGCAAGACATGGAAACGCAAACATAAAATAATGCATATAAATTTTGTTCCTTTGTTTACAAATTATGTCAGAGTTCAAATATTGAGAGCTTTTAAAGGTATTTAGACTCATGGTTAAATGTTTATAAGTTGCCTAGTAAACTTTGAAAGTCAGCTCAAGGCAGTACCTTATTTCCCTGAGAATAAGATCTATCCAGAAAATAAGCTCTCACATGATTTTTCAGGATGCTCATATATAAGCCCTACTCTAAAAATAAGCTCAGTTAAGGGAGCCACACAAACACATTTAGTACATCTGTTGCAACACACAACAGACATGCTGAATTATAAAATACTATTAATATATAAATATTAATATTGACATTAATACTTCAAATAAATAATATAAATTATAATTAGCTAGTTGTAAATACTCAAGCAGATGTCTTTGGATGAGAGGTAAACGCCTATGTAAACAGATGAACTCAAGACTCTGCCTAATGACCAATCAGAGCAGACACAACACATGAATAAAGTGCACACTTGATAACAGATGTGGTTGTGTCTAATATGAATTTTCATAATTCACTGTCAACCATTGTAACAGATGTACTTAATGCACTTGTATGGAATTTTAAAAACATTTTCTGAATTTCGGTGCCTCTAATTTTCAGCACTTTTGTGTGGACCATCATTCTTAACTGTCATCATTTTTGTTGCCACTCCTGCCTCATAATCAATCAATTAACACTTGATTAAATGGAAGCTTTGTCAAGCCCAGCCTGCAAGAGGTCGTGACTTGGGTGAAGAATTCATGGGGTACAATCACTGACAGCTAAGTTGCCAATGCTACAAGCAGGCTACATGGATGAGAAGCATTCATTTCAGGAAAGCTCTGTTGCTGGATATGAGAGGTTGGGGCCAACGGTTTTACAGGAAATTAAATTGTAAGAAATTCAGGCCAGAATTCAGGGTTTGGAGAGTTACCACCATGGTCCAGAAGAAAAGGACATGACTGTATTTGAATAAATATAGATTTTTGTACATGAATACATGTAGATTATTGCACAGGAATAAATGTAGATAGTTGTACATGAATAAACAAGACATCTCATGAAATAAGCCCTACTGTGTATTCTGCAGCAAAAATAGGGCTGGGAATTTAGCTCAGTGGTATAGCCGCCTGCCTCACAAGCGTAAGGTCCTTAGTTCGAGTCCAGGTACCAAATAATAATAATAGTAATAGTAATAGTAATATAAGACCCAGCCTCATTTTCAGAGAAACAGGGTACATGCAGATATGGCTTATACCCTTGGCCTTTCCAGGCCAAGGATAAGCTGTTTTCTTTTATGAAGAACAAGACTCAGTCTCTAGACTATACTATACTATAGTATACTATATAAATTAGTATAGTATAGTACACTATATAAATTCTTAAAAATACCACTGTTTCAATGACTTCATACAATTTCCTCAGGAATCTAAAGTATCTTTCAGTAAGTTGAAGCACTAAAAGAGTGCCTACACATAATGAATTTAGGGAAAAATACAAAATGTAGGCTCGAAGCAACTATAATTTAAAATGCAATAGAACACACAAGCCCTAGTTTAAAGAATAACTAACAGCAATTATTTAGCTACCATTTGCTATACATGCCATGCTCAGCAGTTTAAATATACTGATGGGAAGAAACCAAGGACTGAAGAGACCTGACAATGCTCCCCAAAGCCTGTATCACAGAGCTGGGAGCACAGGAAGGACTGAAAACAGACGTATCTAGGCTCTGTGCTATGCAGCCAGCATAAGGTGCCTCAGAATACAGGATAATATCCCAGTACTGAAACAAAAAAAGTCCCAAAAACGTTTAATCAACTTAATATATAAACTGCCAATGATCGATAGAAGACACTCAGATGTCTATTTGCAATTGTTTCATTCGAGTTGTTTTATTCAAATCTTTAAATTACTTGACAGCAGATGAGTCTAAAGATATTTAGACTTTTCAATGATCATGGCTGATTATGTTCAGTAAGAAAGGTAAATAATTACAGATAAGTATCATATTTCTGAAAATCATACCAATGCATAATCATGCCCTAATCATACCAATGCATGATTCATGCTAATTATATCTATTTATATTAATAAAAATTAATTATAATCATACATGATATATTTATATCATGATATATGATATTTATAATAATATAATTTAAAACACTGAAAATCTGGAAAGGCTGATTGTGAAAGACTACACATAAAGTGATATAGCTCTTTAAATAATTGTCATTTACATTATTCCATTCTACGTAGTCAGATGGAATTACTTGCTATGGTTAAAATGTTTGCCTGCACATTCATATATTGAAATGCAGTGAGGGTCTCTGACAGGCGATTAGGTCATGAAGAAGGAACCTTCAAGAAAGGCATTAGTGCCTGTTATGGTTTAGGTCTGAAATGTTGCCCAGAACTCATGTGCCCAAGGCTTGGTTGGTAATGGGCTTTGGGGAAGGGTCTGCATGATGAGGCTCTCACTGTCTCAAGTGGGTGAATGCACTGATGAGATGGTAATAGGATGGCATCCTGGGAGGGGCCTCTTCCATACCACGCCCCTTGGGGACAACACCCACTCTCACCTGTGCCCTACATTATCACATCTATGAGGAGCAACGCCCACCACTGCAGACCTCTCCAGTGCACCCTACACCCTGCAGCCACACACAGTTCACAGCAGACCACTGTATCTCACACAAAAAGGGGGCTCATGAACACTCGACTTTGAGCAAATATCAAAACCTAAAAAAGAAAATACACCTCTCTGTGCATGCGTGTGTGCGTGCGTGTGTGACAATTCTGACAACACAGGCTGCTGTATGCTGAGCTCAAGCCTGGACTGCTCCATTAAGTTCAAATTTGCATGTCCAGCCTCCTAGTAATGAACACATCTGAAGCTTAAAGATAAACTACACACAAATGATAATTTTAATAACTTAGTCACAAGGGGTCAAAATAAAATAAATTCAAGGTCCTATTATCAGAGCAACTGATTAAATAGATTATATCCTCCTTTAGAAGAAGCACGTGCTAGTGTTTGTCATTTTTCAAAGGGGAACAGAATTCTAGCATTACATTTAAATGCATGCATTTAGAATGAACTTGTGGCATGTAAATATCAAAAAATAAAATAAAAAGAATGATCAGCAATGTATGAGAAAATAGGAAAAAATGTTAAATAAATCACTGAAAAGTAGACAAGACTAAGAATTTTAAAATCACAAAGATCTGGGGATGTGTCTGTTCATAATATTTCAGCATATATGGTTCCTAATCACATCAAAGTGCAAATCTGAACAAAATAAAAATATAATTTAAGGAAAAGTGTAAGTTCAGAAAAATAAAACAGATGCAATGATTTCAATAACATGGTGTTCATTTGCTTTAAGATTTAAATCTTATTTTACTACCACAAGTCTTTTCTTCCACTTTCACTGAGTATAAATAAGTTTATAATTCCTTATGACTCTCTGACCTCTGAATTTAAGATTAATTTGTCATTTTAAAATTTTCCCAATATACTATATTAATATTCCAGAATCTACATGAAAGTTGGATACATTTCATGGTAAGCTAAAAGCAACATTACCCTTTAGATATTTGTACTGTTTCAAAAAGTTTTACCTAAATGTACACAGATAATTTAACATGAGACAAATGGCAGCCATGAATGAAATCTACATAAAATGCCTAAGTATAAACAGAAACAGGAAGGGGGCTCTGCTAATCACTTCAAATTTGGTATTCATCCAGAATTTTGTCTGAAGTATTCACTTCACCAAATTTTTTTTTAAAAATGACGCTCACCCTAGATGATCAACTTACTTTACAATGGTCGTATTGGAGCTGTAAGGCGGGAACATCTCCACCAATGGGCATTTGTTTTTTAAGCTCTTCATCTTTCATATTCAGCCACTTGATCAGTTCTTCTAAAGACGCCAGTAACCTGTTCCACTTCTCAGCACTGGCCTCCAAATGGGCCCTGTGGAGAAAGAACACTGGCCACAGTTAGGGGTATGAATTGCATTTATAGAATTATGTAACTTCCTTTAGCCAAATAATATTGTATGACCAACTAATGTTCACTTCCAAAAAGAGACTGACTGGAGAAAAAAATAATATTCCCATAAAAAACAGTTATATTGAATAAGCTGTAACATTCAGAGGATACTTGGGATATTTTAAATGTATACATCCACACCTCTAAAGCATGAATATGAGGCCTTCAAGAGGAATGTCCATGATATAATGTAAAATTACAAAGCCATTTTTCACAGCATATGCATAATATATATACACATCCAAGAGTTTTCTTTTATTTATAAATAGGGAGAAAGGATGGGAGGAGGAATAAGGGAAATTGTGTGGACAAAAATGCTTAGAAAGAAACATACCAGATGTGGTTACTACCAAGACCACAGTAAACAGTTAATTTTTATATATTTTTATCAGCTGATTATCAGTTGATATCCAGTAACAAGTGACCATGTACACAGGGAACAACTGGGTCCAAACCATTGACTGTAGTATTTTATACAGTGCCTTAATGGGGAATTCTTTGTTTCAGTAATAATTTTTAGTTTAAGCACAAAAATGCACCTTCAGAATTGCTCAGTTATGAACTTCATAAATAAAGTGTATATTTTAGGCCCGGGGGTTTAGCTCAGTGGTTCCGCTGCCTTCTTCACAAGCTCAAGGTCCCGAGTTTGAGCCCCAGTAGCAAAAAAAAAAACAAAAAAAAAGTGTATGTTTTAAAAGTATATTTTATGTAGTTAAGATTCCAATAAGAGCAAAAGCACTTGGAAACAGAAGTATAAATCAAAGCACAAATTTTTCTTTGCTCTTGTTATGGGCCTGGAGAAATCCCATTTACCCTGCCTCGAGTCTACGGAGGACTGGATTTGAAAATATGGATCAGTAAGGAAAAGAAAACTCAAGGAACTGGGCTTTCCTCAATGATCCGTCACCCACAGCGGGTGTAGACTTAAGCCCCAACCTGGTGCAATGGAATTTCCTTGACTATCTGATCTTCCAGGTTCAGAGGTAAGGCTGATAAACACAGCCTTGTTGTAGGACAGTTTCCAAAGGGTGAAGGCTTAGCAAGGTCAAAGGACTTACATGGGGCAAACTCAGCTACAAGAAACTTCTGTAGATCACACTTCATATCCTCTAATACCACTCTCACCTTGACATTGACATTACGATTCCAACTTTCATAAATCGATTCCTTTACCAAGTGGTATGGGACCAACCTAACAGGCACAGCCACTGTTGTCTGAGGACCTCTCTGTACAGTAATTTCCTTGTTCAAACAAGACTTACTTGAACATCTGTCTCAAAATTCATAGCTGAATTCATAGTTAACTCAAACAAATGTTCACTCATTTATCACATTAGGTGGTCTTCCGATCAACAGATAATCAACAATATGATATTTTTATTTAAAAGTTCATTATTTTTCAGAACAACCAGAAATCTCTATTCTCTAGTTCAGATCTAATTCAAAACATAATAATCATAGTCTATCAAAAAATTGAAGGTCTGCATACCTTTTGAAATACTAGAATTTTATATACATGTAACCAGTATTCTCATGCAGTTACATGTCAAAGGTCATTATCTCCCAATCTATTTACAAACTGTTTAATATGAAATAAAGTACTCAGACTCAAAAAGTCTATGTCTTAATCAAAAATGTCACCTTTGTATTATAATTTGGATCTTAAATGTTCCCCAAACACATACATGCTAAAGACTTGCTCACCAGCTTTTGCTGCTGTTGGGAGGCAGGGCCGGGTGGAACAAAATTAGGTCATTGGAAGTGGCACTTGAAGGCAGTATCAGGACTCCAGTCTCTTCCTCTCTCTCTCTGTACTTCCCAGCCATCATGAGATCAGCAGTTCCCTGCACCAGGCACTCCTCACCATGATATACACCATGATATACTATGACACCACAGGTCCAAAGCAACAGAGCCAAGCAGCCATGGACTGCAACCTCTGAAACCATGTATCTTTCTCTTCCTTATAAGTTCACTTCCATTTAGTCATGGTGGCAAATGCCTGTAATCCCAACATTCTGGGAGGCTGAGGCAGGAGGACCACAGGTATGAGCCCAGCCTGGGCAATTCAGTGACTTAGTGAGACCCTGTCTCAATAAAAAAGGACTAGAGACATAACTCAGTACAAAAACCTGGGTTCAATCTCCAGTATTGTGCCTCCCCTAAAATTTTTTTTGATTTTTCTCAGATATTTCATCTCAGTGATGAAAAGCTAACCCTGTGTAATACAATAAAAAATAATTTGGACACAGAAAGAAGTTCAAAGTATTTTTAAATCCTCTGAGAATTATATGATAGAAAATTTATTTTAATTTCCTACATTTACTATTGTTTTTGTGTGTTCCACAGGTGCGGTGATTGACCTCACATTACAATATTGTTTTAACAATGTCCTGATTCTGCTTGAGCTCCAGTTTCTCTGTGTTTCTATTGATTAATTTTAGTCCAAACATGTAATTACCTTTCCTCGATAAACAATAATTTCACTTGTTGCAGAGCAAAACTCAGTAATTCCAATTACATTAATTGAAAACTCTCTGCAGTTATAAGCCTTGCTGCAGCTAGTCCATGTGACTGAACTATTTCAATTTCTTTCCAATATTTCAAAATGCAAAACACAGCCTAAAATCAGAGGTCCTCAGTCAGTGAAGAAATGCTTGAAGTTTCCATGTGCAAATCACTTACACCTGCACCCTGACCTCTTATTCGGATCTTATCGTGCATCTTCAAAATCTGAAGTTTCACTCATTAATCAGTAACAGCCACGCATTATATTCCTTTGCAATCAGTTGTACACATGTATTGAAGAGCAAGCAAATGTCTTTTGCAATACAATTAACTCTTTTGATTGCACAGAAATAATGAAATTGATCACTGAACCTTACCCATACTCAGCACCTGAAGGACTACCTATAAAGATGAAGGCAATACTTTTTAAAAGAGATGCTGAAGTGGCTTTGAAATTAGAAAAGATTGGAATATTTATTTCTTTGCATCTGTACTTTCCCATAGTAAAAAGCAAGCTCATCTGGCAGAATCTCTGCCTGGCAAATCTGCTCTGCTTATTTTTCAATAACCACAACTCTGAATTTAGTGGATTGCTACCATATGCCCAAGTAAATGCATGCTTCTGTAGTAGCTGTCGTTGTTCCTGTTTCATTTTCATTCTTTCATCTTGAAAGATGAAAGCCTTTTCCTGGGCAGTGGGTTGAATGTTTTTTTTGTTCTTGTTTTTTTTTTTTTTTTTGGTACCGGGGATCGAACCTTGTGCTTTCGAAGCAGGTGTCGGAGCCACTGAGCTAAATCCCCCCCAGCCCTATTGAATGTTTTTAAGAAAAAAAATTTCATTTGTATTTGGCTTAGTTGTACTTTCTCAATGTTACTACAAACATTTTAAAACTTAAATCTCCCAAGACCATAGATAACAAGTCATCAATCACGTTTTCTGAATCTTCATTTAAAACTTTGCTTTATCTAACTAAATCGCCGCGGGTTCTTGTTTACTTATCCTAACTTTCAAACTGCTTCAATTCATCCTCTGGCTATTTGATGTATACAAAGCAATAGATACTTTCACTGACTGTATAATCAATCTAAGATAATGTCTACTACGAAAGATGCTTTGCACAAGTTATCCTTTTAAAATATTATCATTTATACAACAATTTAAAATAAAGTGCATAAGAATTCAAATATATATATATATACAAAAATTTGTCGGAAGATAATGATCCATAAAAATGGTACTTAATTATTTAAATATAGTAGAAGAGTAACTATGGTGGAAACCACTAACTAATATCTGATTTAAATTGTCGATGGTCTCTCCTTTCACAGAAACCGTATCTTCAAACAAATTATCATTCCTTCTCCGGAGTAAAGACATGAAAGGAAATAGTGTAAGTGAAGACAGGCATTTGTTAAAAGAAAACTGTTTTTCATTTATCCGATACAAATATATATGGCACAACTACTCTGCTATCAGGATCCACACTTTGAGAAACAGAAAGTCATTCAGTAAACTGTTTTGGGCCAAAGTAGAAGAAATTCAAGTAAAGCAAAGGTACTCCAAGACAGGAAACCTGGCCACAGTTCTATGGGGAATTACAACACAGAGAAGGTAGGAACATCTTCAGGACAACAGCAAGAAGTTTGAATCCAACCTAAAATCTAAACTCTTCTGCTATACTGCTTTCACCAAAGGCAGCATTTAAGAGGATGGACAGGAACTGCCCAGATAGATCTGGGGACAAGTAAGAATACATTTGGAAAGTAGGTCTAACAAAGACTTAATGACCCAAGTTCAGAGGAGACAAAGATATACTACCCCCTAATGTAGAAGATAATAAATTTGGAATTTTTCTATAAATGTAATTGCTTTTTGGTTTATAGTAAAATACACAGGTAATAAACAAGGTCATAATGAAAACAGCTTAATTAGTGCAAGAATAACAGGTTACATTAAAAGAGGATTATTCCTGCTCTTCAGAAGAGAATTACAACTACCAGAAGAAAAGATTAGAGTTTTCAAAGGTTAGCCTCTGCTGAAAACAAGCCTAAAGTTATGCTTCTAACACGGCAATCACCAGCAACATGAGGCTATTTAAATTTAAATTTAGCTTGATTGTGATTAATAAAATTTGAAATTCAAGTCATCAGTTTCACTAGCTGCACCGTACATATTTGATATGCCACACATGGCTAGTCTCTGATCAGAGCAGATAGAGAAAGCACATTTTCTTCTTACAGAAAGTTCGGATGAAAGTACTGTTCCAGGGAAAAATGAGAAGAAAGTAATAGAATCTTCCTCTATTAGATTTGGTACAAGGAGATTTTTAGTAGTTTTATAATATGATTAAGAAAACAGTTATCTAAGGCTGAAAGTGATGACAATGACCTGTAAAATGTGGTTGTAAATGATGTAGATGTAAATGATGTTAAAAATCAATTTTCTCTAAGGGCTTTTAAAATGGTGCCCTGCATTTTTAAGAGGATCATAAAAGAACAGGAAGATAGAATTTTATCTCGAACTCTGTTTTCATTAGATTTGACAACTTCTCTGGCCTTTGAAACCATATGTTAATAAGGATCTGCATTAAACATCATTAGGCTGGTAAGTGGCTATTTAATTAATATAATCATACACTAAATAAATTTAACATAAAAATTAAGCCATGTCATTCATGGTACTAAATTTATTTGTAGATTTCCAATTTATATTTTCCAGTGAGCATAAAATATTATCAAAGTCCCTAGGAGCGCATCTTCTAGCTGAAGTTTCAAATCTTTGGCGACCTCCTCTTATCCTGATCTAAGTGAAATACCTAATTATATGTGTTGTTTTTAAGATTGTTAGAGAACACTGAGCACATTGGAGTTCAGTCTTTAAAAAGTTTAATCATAGTCATCTAAAGAGACTATGAAATACTACTTAAGACAGAAAACCACATATTATGACATTTTCTCAGTGACCACACACACCATGGTGATAGAAGGCAATGCATGTAAAGCACTTAGAGTAAATCAGGTGCATAAATATTCAATAAATATTAGCTATTATTATAATCTTTGGCAGATATCCTTTCCTGAAAGTTGACAGCATATTGTGCCACATGTTCTCTGCCATGACAATATGGACTTCAGCAAAATCAAAACACACCTGGAAACATGGACCCCATGAATATTACATTCTGCAAGGACCAGAAAGGCACTGGTCAGATGACTTCATGTTCAGAGAAGAATGAAGCAAGGCCACCTGCAGAAAGGGAGGTTTGGGGCTAAAGTGGAATCATAATCCTTTAAAATAGGGGTGTGGAGAATACGATAGAAAAATCATTTGGAATCACCACACCAATCCTAAGTAGAAAGTGTCCAATTACAGAAATGTTAATAACAAGAAATAGAAAGAGTGCAGTCATCAGTGTCAGAGGTTGGAAAAGTAGACCAAAAACGTTCAACCGGGAGAAGAAATTAAGGTCCTGACTTCACTAAATGTCTTACAATGAGCTCCAAGGTCAATGTACAACAGTGGGGAGCAAAGGGGTCGGTGAAGTCTGAAATCAGGGAAGATTTAAACAACTAGAAATAAGCTGGTTCAGGAAGAAAAGAGAAATTTAAAGCTAAGAATTCCACAGCTGAAAATACCGGAAGATGTAAATAAACTTTTCTGAAAACACTGGTTTTTTTAAGCCTCTTGCACAGATGCCCTTCCCCCTCCTGACCCCATCTACCTGAGGAAGACTTCTAGGCCTTCCAAAGCTCTGCTTAGGAATCACCTCTTTCCTGGGAGCTCTAATTATCACCTGAATTGAGAATAACCACTCTCTCTTTTGGGCTCTACCTTCAAGGTCTGTGAACCCTTAGGGGCATGGACCATCTCTTACTTATAATTAGCAATGCCTTAAATGTAGAACTAAGCTTTCATTAAGAGCTCACAGGCATATGCAAATCTCCTGAGGTAGGTTCTAAGGTGATTATTTTGACTCATTATTATGTTTTACCAGAATATATGATCTGTCTTTGTGCAGAAATCTACTGAAACAATCTATCTTCTAAAATCTTCTAAACAATCTATCTTCTAAAAATACTCTTGATTTGCTTACCAAATACTATTCCAACTGTAGTATAAAGTTCCTTCTTTTCAGGTTGGAAAAAAAGAATGTGATTTGATAGACATAGGAAGAAACTCCCAGGAAAGCCCCAAGATTTTTTTTCTGTAGCTTTCCACTTGGAATGATCTGTTTATGGTGTAGGCCTTTATTAAATCCTCCTGCCTAAAGAAGCTAAGCTCTCGATATTCCAGGACCTTGTGTACAATCTTCACCTGAGCCAGTCCTATTGCTTTTAGTTAATTAGCTTAGATTTCTGGTTCACTAGATCCTCAGTGAGTGCTCTGAACTGTAATGTTAACATTTTTATTTGTTTATATTTATGAGGAACAGAAAGTTACAACCCGATAAGATCTTGCAAGTTGAAAAGTCAAGTCTTAATTAAGTATAGTTTCTCTGGGTACAGTGCCCCCTAATTATTTTCCTATTTAAAAAGTACAATTGGCTGGTGTTGGCATCATTTCCACGGGAATCTCTGGATAGAGGAGTCCAGACTATGCCACCTTACACACTTCCTTAAGTACAAGAAGAACTACAAATTCCCCTCTATGAGCCCCTGAAGAACAAGTCTTTTGGAGCATCTTATCAGAAAGAAAATTTTTAAAAAATCAAATGTAACAAATAATCTTTCAAGATTTCTGCTGTCTGTGAAGTTACTAGATGAAATCTCAAAATCAGTTGAGGCAGACTCCTGAACAAAATTTGTGTATGAAAAAATGAACTAGATGCTACAGAGACTGGCAGATTAGCAGGCAGACTCCACACAGCTCAAGGTCCTAACCAATCATCTCATCCAATTTCGCAACAATCATGTGGGTTAAATATTTATACCCTGAGTTTTTAAGGTAGAGAGGGCGTAAGCAATTTGCCTAAGACCAGAGAATTCATAGCAAAGTCAAAGAATCAAGTTTAAGGTCATCTGTTATTAAGGCTCTGGATGCATTTCTCAACACAATGATACAGCAGGAGAAACTGATCTATCACTTCCCATTGACATTGTTCTTTGAATTTTTCAATAACACGTTCTTCATTCAGTAGCCTATAAATTTATACCTACTTAGAAACTGTCTTCCAACTATTACAATATTCTTGACCCCCATTAACACTAATCATTCTATCACCCTGGATAATTTTTCAAGATCTTTTCCTAGTCAGAATTCTGGTCTTAAGGTTCATACTTATTTAATATTATTCTTTCCAAATGCAGATAAGAACCATCAATTTTCCATTTTAGTGTCAATGAGATATTTATTCTCTTTAAATATTATCTTCAAGTTGAACAAAAACACAACACAATGAAGCAAGAACACATTCAAAGCCAGAGTCAAAAAGATCTAGGCTGAAATCCTGGCTCAGCACTTGTTATCTCAAAAACTTGGCAAGTTCCTCACATTCATTAAATCTCTTGTTTCCTCATATAAGAAAGGATTTTTACAATTCACTTCACTAGGATTTTCCAAGTACAGTCATGCGTCACTGAACAACTGGGGTACATTCTGAGAAACATGTCATTAGGCAATTTTGTCATTGTGCAAACATCATCAGATGGACTTACACAAACTAAGATGGCTATGACATCACTAGGCAATATATTTCACTATATATGCACTTGGTCATTGACAGAAACCGTGTCATGCAATGTACGAATGTACTAATTAATGCTTACAAAGACCTTCACACAGTCCTTGGTAAAGGTAAAAACTCAAACATTAGCAGATGTTGGTAGCATTATTATTAGTATCACATGGTTTAAAATATGAAATGGGGGGGCTGGGGATTTAGCTCAGTGGCACTGCACCTGCCTTGCAAGCGCAAGGTCCTGAGTTCAATCCCTGTTACCAAAAAAAGAAATTAAATGGACCTCTGTTAACAGTCAGGAACAATAGGCAAAGAGCACTGAACATGAAAGTGGCTAAAAATATAACCAAGAAAAGAGATTTTGCATTTAAATCTTAAACTACTTTGAAGGAGCAGCACTGGTGATATACTGCCCTTTCTCTTTCTAATATGCAAAAATCACAACAATTTGCCACCTTTGGTTCTTTGTATTTAGATGTTGACTGTGCTGACCTGATGCTAGCAGATTTTGCTTTCAAGTCATTCCATCTTTGGTTCATATCATCCAGTCGATGTTGAAGCATAGTAGCCTCCTCAGAATTCCCCAGAGCTTTTACCATCTTCTGCCTGTTTCCATCAATGCTTTTAAATATGTCATTATGGGCATCAATTTCTGCCTGGATGTCCTGCAGAGAAAAATAAGAGATAAGGCAAATGTTAGGTATTAGTGTCAACGTTACTTGTGATTTCTATATAGAGCTTTATTTTTTTATATTTGCAAATAAATTGCTTTGAAGCAAAATAATTCATCGTGAAAGAAGTAACAAATTAGCATTTCCATAATTCTCACATTGAAAATAAGTCTTTAAATCTTCAATACATTGATTTCCCACTTCTTAAAAACAGAACATATTATAGTCTAAATTTCATGCATCATTAAGTTAAATGTTAGCATTTTAGAGTCAGTGAGCAATTTCTGAATTTTTATACAACTGTCATTGCTCAATCACTGAATTTTACATGTTATTTAGATTCTTTCTCCCTTTACACATGGGTAAAACTTCCCTAACAATATGAGGCTTACATAGGTTATTCTCTTATTATATAATTTTAAATGATTTTCCTATTTTGACAAACGTATGAGTAGCTTACCCTTTTAATTTTATAAAATTTATTTTAAAATTTTAAACAAAAATTTTCATACACAGGATCATCTTCAGTAAGAATACTAATAAAATATTTTCTCCTGGTAAGTAGACAAATAGTTAATTTTTTATGAACTAAATTTGAGTAGAGGATGAATAAAATGAAAATTATAAATAATAAAATTTGGTTCATACTTTAAGGAAGCATTTGGCAGTTTGTAAAAAGAACTGTAAAAGTATTATAAAAACTATCTGTCCTAAGAATGTAAATTAATAAAAATGTTTAACCCATTGAGTAATATTGTTTTAAAACAGAAGTACAAACTTGTGCATTATAACTTAATTTTTAGTGGAGATGCTTAAATTATCATATATATTTATATATAACTGAACAGTTATACATTAAGAGATTGCAAAAAAGACAAAAAACAAAACTAGTGTAATCTCTATAAGGTTTACTGATAATTTTAGTTTTCTTTGTTACAGTTCTCTGAGTTTCAAAGTTTCTAAAAAAAGCAGGATTTCTTTTTGCAATTAGATAAATCAATAATTTTACTATTCTCTCATTATAAGATTGCCAATATACATACAAATTTGACAGTTGTCTTTCCATCCTGAATTAAATGGAGGCAACCTAAATGTGACTAACTCTGGTGCGACAGCCACTAACAATCAACAAATGAGTGTGAACTGAAAAACGGACACCAGGGCAGGCCATGAAGGTGTAATGTTGGTCTCCATGGCAATAACTGATAACATGTATTTGCAACTTGTCAGAGAAACAAGCAATGAATCTGAAATAGCAAAAAGGCAGCAAACTCTTAAACACAATAACCGTATCATCTCCTCATCTTAAGTCTTCTTTTATATGCCTCTGCTGTAGTCTAAATGTTTATGTCCCTTCAAATTTTGTATTCTGAAATTCTGACCCAGAACTGGATAGTGTTAGGAGGTGGGACCTATGGCACATGATTAGGTCCTGAGGCAGAGCCCTCTCTTATGAGAGAGGCCCACACAGCTTGTCTTGCCCTTCTGCCATTTAAGGACAGAACTAGAAGGCACCATCTATGAACCAGAAAGTGGGCCCTCATCAAACACCAGATCTGCCAGGGCCTAGGTCTTGGACTTCCAGTCTCCAGAACTGTGAGAAACAAGGTTCTATTGTTTATAGGCCATCTAGTTCAAGGTATCTTGTTATAGCAACACAAACCGACTAAGCCTCACTCTTGAGTTTCTCCAATTCTAAATGAACATGATACTAATTTACACAAAAGTTCTTCGGATATCCAGTATCCTTTTATTCATTTAAAACTCATTTCTGTTAAGTATCCATCAAGAACCAAGGCTTGGAGATCTACATCTGAGTGACCATTCTTCAGTTACCCTCAGACTTTCACTAACCAGGGCCATTCACAGAAAGGTCTCACACCTCACTACTCCAAGTATCATATTTGGAAGGTAGCACTGCCCTGCTAGCATTTCCGATGGGATTTGTGCTGGCTAACTTGCTGCTAACAGGACCAGATTTGGAAAGTGGATGAGATGAACACAAAGTTTGATTGACCCTAACTACAAGATTTATGTTTCACATTTGCAAGCCCACTGATTTCTGAAGTTATCTGACCCTAAATGGCAAAGTCAAGTCCATCTGCAAGGTGTGACCTGTACACCCAAAATGAGGCCTACCCCTGAGCAAAAGCTGAGATTGTTTAATCATAAATCTTGTAAAAGGTGTCAATATGACTTGTGTTCACCTCATATGGGTGACAAAAATAGAATAGTTCCATGCTAGGAACCATGCTGTCCAAGAGATTATACCAAAGAACTTTTCAACAAAATTTTTTCCCATGGGGTATTTCAATTTGAAGCATCCCAAACTAAGATAATGATGAGATTGTCATTTTCCACACATAGCATTGCCTAATCCAAGCAATGAAAAGCAGAAATGGGTAAGGCAGCAGGAGAAAACAGCAGCATATTGATTAAGGTTCTTGGATTAGGCATGGTTCCTAGCATGGAACTACTCTATTTTTGTGTCCTAAAATGAATTTTAAGGAATTTCAAGAGCTACACATGAAAAGGCTAAAGGCAATATTTGCTGTCTTATCTGCATGACTACAATATTTCTCAAGAAGCTCAGTGACAGTCAGCAAAGCAACTATTTATTCTCCACTGCCAAAAAGAACCTGGCCTCAAATTTCCTGTGTAGATTCCTAAACATCAAGATTGGTGGACCACACCTAAAATCACAAGGCAACTCAAACCACAACATCCTGGTATAGGCTGATCAGATTATTTGCTTCCTTTCATATTTAAGAGAGGCAGAAAGATAGTGTGCATCAAGATGCATAAATAAGAGCATTTGCAGCATCCGGAAGTCAGGATGCCAAAAGCATAAAGTAAATTTACCTCCTCTCATCAGATCAGGTAATTGTTTTGCAACCCAGCAAGGATGATGAATGGAATAAAACAGCAGGACTGCAAACTGGCCCAGCCAATGATGCGAAGGACTTGTATGAAACATTCTTTAAGAGCACTAGCAAGGAGCAGATGTTCACATTGGATTATCACTTTCAATATGTGGAAAGCCCTTCCACACATGAACACCATCTTCAGTTAAGAAGCAAATCAATAACCAGAAAATGATCAAAGTAAAGGAAATCAGCATACATTATTTTTTAACTTAACATTTCATGGCATATTTATTTTGCCAAGTACGCTAAAGGGCTCCTTTAAGCAGAAAACAATCTTCTAATTTCTTCTGCATCATTCACAGTGTCTGTTATAAAGTATGAGTCTAATATAAAATAGGACACATAGCTGATACATAAATAAGTGTATAAATATGAATAAACACATGGATAAGTTCGTCTTGACTGACTGGCAAATTAGCTACTGTAGTGTCAAGAGAAAACAAAGAATTGGAAGGGAATGCAGTAATCATTTTGTTCAATTTCTTCACTTAAAATTTTTAAAATAGGGAACTAAAATTTGCCTGTACTGCAAAGTCCTGCATAAGTTTTCATTGAAAATTTAGAATTAAATACAGTTCATAAATCATGTCCCTCCATAGATCACCGTGTAGTGATGCACTGGTTTTAAAATCAAGATGACCCTGAGATAGCATCAAATGCTAAAATAATTAAAGTCTCATGAAAGAAGGATTACTCTCGCGGCACAGCTGGAGACTTGGACCTGCTGATGCTTACCTGTGTCACCTGCCAGCCTGTTTGAAGTTTAAATAGCACCAAATGGTTACTGATAATTAGTATGGGAGTGTAATCTATCTAGAAGCACAAAGCCATGCTCTTCCAAGTATTTAACATGAGCTAGTCATGTGCGCACAGGGCTAAAGCAAGAGAGTCAAATAGTTGAACTGACATTTGAAAATAGGGCAGGAGAAATGTCTTACGGATTCACTTGAAAAGGATCTTTAAATAATATAAGTGTAACGTAGAAGGTTGAGAACAACCAGAAGACAGAAAAAGAGGACTACATGTTTTTGTCTAGTGGAATACCACCAACAGCATTAGACAAACTTTCAGAAGAGTCCTCCAGAAGATAGCTGGAAAGGTTAGCAGAGTATCATTGATGAATAATCCCTCTTGCTGCAAAGTACACCCACCATCAGGTCAAAATAAACTTCACAAAGAGAAGAAACCATTCATTTATTTCTTTATTTACTTTTTACTTATTTTATAACTGATAATATCAATGTTGTCCTTAAATGGACATCTCCTCATTCACATAGCTCACAGTGATACAACCACAAACACTTTCTAATGAATATCACATACGTTTTACTGGTTTATAATGGTCTATAATCAAAATCAAGCAGTAGCTGTAACTATTTCAGTAAAAATGTTTCTTCAGATTACAACAAACGGAACTGTTTGAAGCCTCTAATAAGAAACAGATTTAGAACAGTACCACCCTACAAGAAGTGTTCAACAAGTACTGTGTTCAATTGGTGCTCGAACAGAATCCTCCTCTTTGACACCATTTTGGTTTATTTTTCCACAGCATATTTACCTAACCCTACATGGCCACAGCAATGTTTTCTCTGAAGGAGTTTTGACCCCGTTACCGAAGGTGAAGAAGCGAGGTTAGCAACAACTTCCCTATTATGTGCCCAAAGCTCAGGTTAAATAAACAGTGTTAACCATCAGGAGAAAATAAATCCACAGTGCCTTTCAGAAATCAGACCGGATCTCTGAGACAGTTTAGGATTGATTATCAGGAGCTCATCAGGATTACGGCCAGAGCTTTAAGTTTTGAAAATGAGGAATCACAAATTTTCAAAAGTCAGATTACCTAAATAATAATATAACAATTGAATGTTATCACCAAAGGTTATTTTTCACATGTAAATATGTATTGAGACAGTTTATAAGGTTTCCAAGGTAATGAGTAATTATAATTAATTATTCAATTATTTCAATTACTTTATTGATTTCAGCCAATTATTCAATCTGTTATTCTATAGCCTGCATTTTCTTCTCACAACTAATCTCACAGATTTTAATTATCAATTGAATAAT